AAGATTCGGGATTGAATTATGAGGTAATTCCACTCAAATGTGAAAGTAGGGGTAGGGTGGACCGCCAGTGGAGAAAAAAGAAAAAAATCGTGAAATACACAGGAAATACGAGCCTTTTGCTCTACGCTGCGGAGAAGTTCAAAAGGCCGGCAGGGAGATGAGAGATAATGTGAGCGCGGAGAGCGCTAGAGAAGTCCGAGTAGAGAGAGCATAGCAGATCAACATTCCGACGCAGACAAGATATCGAGCGGTGGGCGGAGCGTGTCGCAGCAGGTGGAGCGTGTCAAAGTTCTTAGCGCCTAGCGTCTAAATAACGCTTTTCGAAGTAGGGAAGTGACGCGACCTCTACACTTGCGTACCTAGCGCTTCTAGCCACCGTAAAGGCTCATTAAGTGGGTCTGAGCCCGAACTTTGCCTTTAATTAATTTCCATGAGCTGCCTTTCGTCGTAAAATCCGTCTTCGAACATTAAAACACTAAAAGAATCTATGTTTAGGAGACTGCGAGGAAGTACCTGAAGGAAGCAACCGATATGGAAGTGCATGGTTGCGATACTGGCGTCCAGAAAGAATGTGCTGAACTGCTCAAACAGTGCTAGAGAAAATTAAGCAAACTTCATATCTCACTCTAAATCTGCTACTCAAAAACGATAAAGCTCATGACAAAGGAGTTTTCGAACAGTCATGGGTGGAAAGAAATTTTAGTAAAATTTCGACAATTTTCCACAGAAGCTGTTATCCATTACTGCCAACATCTCCGCTATTGTCCACATTTCTCACCAATGGATTATTCACACACTCCAATAACAGATGAGTAACCCAGGACTTGCCAGTGCTCATGCAGTTCGCAAAAGTTTATTGAATTTTTTGAATCAAAGGAAGTTCAATTTTGGAACAGTGTCGATTTGTTGCAGGAGAAGCTAAGAGCCGAGGAAAGGGAAACTCGCCCAGTGGAGAGACAGGCAGACCTCCTAAGGGTCGGGCCGACACGCAATTCGCATCGATGGATATGCTTCGGCGACCTAGCATAGCCTTCACCGCGGTGCTATACGCGCGCTGACTTCGTGGCACGTCCCCTCTCGCTGTCTGAGCCTCTAGCCGCTTAGCAGAGAGAGCGTTAGCGTTGAAGAGGGCAGCACGATGAGAGTCGCATCAATGCGGAAATCAACGGGCAAGGAAGGGGTCCCATTTCTCGGGTTCTGGGCCGTTTCACATGGTTTTTCTTCATCCTGCTCCACTGACCACCTCTACCCTTATTTCCAATGAGCTACTTTTCATCGTAAAACCTGCCTTTAAGGAACAACTTTCATCAACTGTTCATTTAAAACAATAATTTAATGTACAGCAATAGACATGTAAGCAATCACAAATTGCTTGAAGCCACTTGATTTCTTTATACATTGGCCGAAGCGATAATGTCACGAATCTCAGACGCTTTGTAGATTTTGTCAATGTCCTGAAACGAGAGAATTAAGGTTCACAAATCCATGGGTTTTCCGAAAAATTCAGCTCTTTGAGAGAAACTAGCAGCTCATTGCTTACGGTAAGATCGCTGATCCAGATTTTTGACCCGTGACCACGTTTTTGTTTCTTTTGTGGCGGCCGATTGATACGATCCTTGGCTGCCAAAAAGAACATTTGCTCCATCTGAACACGATAGATTAGAGCTTGGAAATTAGAGGTGCCACTGTAATGGATACCTATTAGCATGGTGCAGATACATTCTGGCTCAGCGCCACATGTTGCGACGACGGGGGTGTGGTCTCCGGGGGCAGTGAAAAATCTATTCTGTTTTCGCGTACTGATGAACACGGTCAACCGTATCCAAACGAGGGTAACGCATCAGCGGCTGTGGAAGGGGAGGAGAGGTAGGGGGTTGCATTTGGGAAAGAAAGATTAAATATGTTTGGAAAAGTTCCACGGCGAGGAGGGGCATGTTTGTTTTTGCGGGTATGCGAAGCGTCGCGAATGAAATGAAAGGTGCAGTGAATGGGGATTGTGCGAACTTCTTCGTCCCCCGCCCAAAAAATGGTACAACGAGGGTATTTTGTCGTGGGAAAGCACGGGGAAAAGCGGTACATGTAGGCTGCGATCTCAGAATACGAGACTACAGAAACAGCCATGCATCACTATTGGTGAGGTGGTGGTCACGGTGGAGAGGAGAGATGGAGAGGGGCCTATCTAGAATAATGGTGATGCGTGGGCGAGGTTGATTGAAACCCCTTAAGGGACACAAAAATCTTGGATATTAGGAAACGCGACAGGGACCCTTGATGATGGGATTGCTCTAAGGCGAAATGCAGGTCGCTCCAAGCCTCGGACGGGCTAGGCGCCTCGTAAGTTGCGTGCAAGAGTTCACCCCTGCTTCAGCGGTCGCTGGAACGCATTCGGCTGTTGTCATGAAATCAAAACGCTCGGAAGGCAGAGGGAACCGCAGAGCTTGCGGAGGGACAGGTGACAAAAAGTTAAGTGGCTCAAGCATTGACTCTTCCTTTCTGGGATGCGCCATGCCTTCGACTTCCACCCAAAACGTTATGGCATTTGAATGCGCATTTGGCTACATGCTGAGGCACTATGGCAAAGTACGGGGGCAACCTCCAGGACTAAGCCTAGGAACATAGGGGAAACGAAATTTACCTATTTACTTTGGGTCTCTTCCTGCTCCGCCTAATGCATAATTACGATTTCTAGGGAAGGGAATATTTTACTGTTTCAAATGCATTACTTACAATGCCCCCGTATCTTGCGATAGCGCGCATGCTGACTTGCGAAAATGTAATTTGGAATGGTCACTTGCCTTCTCGAAAGTGTTTTCCTTGTCCCATCCAAGCAACACGTCGATGTCATGTGGATTTCGAATAAATCGATTCCGTTTGTACATTTGCTTCCGTTTCTTGATCTGAAATTGCCAAAATTTCACTGGACTCTCAAAGCGGGCTGGGGGGGGGGGGGGGACAACGCTCACCTTTGGCTCAGCAGATTCGTTGACGATTTCCTGGGTTTTCCGTCGAGTTGCATATCTCTTCATCTGTTTCTCACCCTCTGGTTTTGGCGACGGACTTTCTGGCTTACGTACATTCGTTGCGTTAGCGAGAGCCTACAGAAAATTGTGTTAAACGGAAAGCTAAAGGAACAGCTATCATGGGATTTTTTTGGTTCATTTGCGTGGAAAATATTTTGTAGTAGTCCTGCATATGTCAAAAGAATGACAAAGCGTTCCTAGGTTGCGTGCGGTCGCGACGCGTCTATAACGACCACTGGATAGGCACTCATACTGATTTATGCAGCGTTCAGAGTTGGCGATCGTACATGCGATTAGGCGATTAGGCGAATAGGCGATGATTCAAAAGAAAGTGTACGTATCGATTAGGCGATTAGGCGAGTAGGCGAGTAGGCGATAAGAAAAGGATACGTATCGATTTGTTGCTCCGCCCATTGAGCGATCGCCTAATCGCCTAATCGATACGCATCCCTTCCTTTCAGGCTAATCGCCTAATCGCATGGATCGCCAACTCTGAACACTGCCTTATGCTTCACGGCCTCATATTTCAACAGAGCGAAAAAAACATACATTTCGTATTTTGGTGGCCGCAGCACCATCGCCTTTCGGTCCGGGTTTCGCTGCAGGGACAGCTGCCTAAAAATGATTTTTTGTAATAGATTCGAGTACAGATTTTCTTATCGTACCTCCTTTTGCTCATCACCAGTTCGAGCTGCAGTTGCAGCAGCTGCTTGTTGTTCCTTACGGGCCTGTAGTTCGGCAAGACTTTTCCGACGCCTGGTTGCAACGTTTGTTGCAGCCTTCAAGAATAAATCGACATTTTTTCAGAAGCTCAAAAAATAGGAAACAAAATCAAAACCTGGAACAAATCGTAGTTGTCGTCATTGATGACAACGTCGTTTTTGGGAACGGTTGGCTTTGCAATGCTTAGTGGCTGAAAAAAGACGGCGAATGAAGGTAGGGTTGTGCTGATGATGCTCTATAGCTGCAGCAGTATGTACCGTACCTTGGCGGCAGGAGCAGCTGTCTTTGGTACTGTCGGCTCCACCTTCTTCGGTTCAGTGGCAAAGGCGGGAGCAGGCGGGGCAGTAGTTGCTGGTGTGCGGCAGCAACAGCTTCGTAGCTGCAGAAGTTGGAGCAGTAGGTTTTGCTAAAGCTGAAGCCACAGCTGCCGTAAGAGGTTCAGGAGCGGTAGGAACCGATGCAACCGATTTTGGAGCAGTGGCTGCTGTGGCGACTGATTTGGGAGCAGCAGGCGCAGCGACGGGCTTGGGGACGGTTGCGCGACCCGCGACGAGTGGTCGGCTGTAATATTTGAGTACTTCAGTTATTGACAGTATCTACGCTGAATGATACACAAAGAATGCCTCCAAAACAGTTCCCAAAGTATAAACGATACTCACCTGCTTGCTGCGTGGCTGGCTTATCCTTGACGATTTTCCGGACTGTTCCGTTTCGGTTCTGCTGGCCTTCTCGGGCTCCTCAAAGCAATGTTAATAAAGTAGTTGGGATAAAAAATTGAATAAAAATTCAAATACCGTCTGTGCTCTAACTATAAATCTCGGGAATGATACAATATTAGCTGATGCGGAGTAGTGGGAGAGGGGGGGGGTGGTTAGTACATTTCTAGAAGAATGTGCTAAACATCGAATATCTCTTCATGCAAAAACACATTATTTTTGAGAATTGCGGCATACTTCTGTGTTTTTAATTTTTCAATAAAATTTTAGAACCTCACAGAGTTTAAAAACCCCGTTATTCAGGAAGCTTAGCAGTTCGAATTTATTACGTTCATCAAAAATTTGCTAACTCACCAAAAAACCTATTCACAGTCCAGAAGGTAAGCAGAAAAGCAGAGAAGTAACGAAGTACAAGAAAAACATTTGAATTCTTTCGGAATTTTTTGGAGTTTATTGCAATGAGCTTTCCGAGTCTAGCGGTATTTTTGAATATGTATTAATAAATGTTAATGTAGAGCAGTGTGAAATGCATTTATGGTTCCAGAGAAACTGATTTTCGTAGGGACCTTACCTCTTTTGGTTTCTGCACCACCGTCTTCTTTTTGAGATTCTTGTCAGCCTCTATTTTCGCAAGTTCCTTTTCCGTTTCTGCTTCTCTTCTCTTGTTAAATCGAGCTTTTGCTTCGTCCGCCTTGCTGGAAAAGATATATAGAATGAGTTATAACTGAAAAAATCATCTGAAGTTCCCTATGCTGGTTTGAGCCATTCTGGGAAGACTATGGAAAGGTGAGGAGATTGGGGAGGTTAAAAGAGCGACCAGCAATAGCGTCTGCGAGGGAGAAGATAAGTGTAGAATTGTTTAGCATTTTGCAGTCATGCTAGGCAGAGGAGAAGAGTACATACGTTCTGATTCTCGGAGCCTGTCGTAATTGCAGGTTTAATAACACATGTTGCATAAGATACCCTTTAGAGCGTCACAATGCACATATGATGTAGGGTTTTTTCGAGAACATCGCCATGTGCCACTGAGTCTGCACTTACGACGCTCCTCCTCCCTTCGCACTCTACAGAAAACATAGCAAGCATTAAATTCTGCCTCACTTCATTCACATTGAAACGAATTTTTGAATAATAAATAGATAGTATTGAATAGTAAATAGTTAAAATTTTGAGTAACTGGTAGAAAAATTCTTAAAAGATAGGGTAAAGATAAAGCATTTTTTGGAATGAGCAAGCACGCTCTTATTCAAATTCTGCTCCTAAGCACGCCCTTTCTTCTTCGCATTCTCCTCTCTTTGAGGTAGCATCCATTGCAAGAAGTGTGTGGTGGCTTCCAGGGCATGCCAAGGAGATCAAGGCGACTGATCTTTCCCACAAGACTGAGAAAAGGTTTTTAGATTCCTCGGAATTTGGGCCCTTCCGGCGGTCAAGGGATTACGGTACTGGTAACATGAAGTAGAAAAGAAAGGGTACAAAAAGAAATGGCGAAGGAAATCGTTGGGCTGACAGATCACAGTTCAGCACTCGGCTTCACTGAATGTATCAAACTTTCAGCACGTGAGACCTAAAGAGATAGCAAGCCACCTTAAAGGGCAGAACTTCGCCCAATTGCCCGATATCGAATGTTGCAAGCCAACAGCTGCCAAATAGTGGCGGCCAACGAAGAGGATTCCCGATTTAACCGCCAAAAACTCGGGGACTAGAACCCTCAATTCCCTCCCCCCGCTGTATTTGGACCAGTTTAAGCATAAATATTGTCCGTTCGATGGTTGTCACGAAAGATATGATGGTGACGAGATTAATAGGCGACGAGATTACAGGATACGGCGCTTGATAGGAAATGCCCTTCAACACGAAGATAGAAGGCTATCGAAGACGATATCACAATTATCAGTAACCACTCTATAGGACGGGAGATTTTTGAAGAAGCAGGCGATTTCAGGTTTAGAGCTGAACTGCATTGTAAATAGCGTACTTTTAATTGCTATCGGTAATGCATGAGACGGGCGGAAGTGGTGTAGTGGCAAGTGGCACGCTTACCACGCCGGTCCGGGGATCAAATCCTGGGTCTTCGAATTGGATAAAGTAGCGAGAAAAGAAACTCTTACCAGAGAACTAGTTTTTTTCCATAACAGAAAAGTAAACTGTAAACTTGAGTCTGTAGATGAAATAGGAAAGAAACTTACGGGTAGATAAATGATTTGAGAATTCTTAAGATCGATTTCAGTCGTAATAGGGACTTGTTGGGGTTCAAAGTTGAGCGTCGCATACTCCAAGAACCACAAGAAGGACCACAAGCACACCGCGCACACACCTGAACACTCCGCTGACGGAGTCGATGATCATCTTTTTCTTCTCATCTTCCGTACGCTTCTTCATGTCGTCAGCGGTGACCGTGATACCCTTTGAGAGATCCTTGAGATGGCTTTCAAATTGTGATGATCCGCTCTTCATCTGCGCTCGGATTTCTTCCATCTAGAAGAATTTCAATTTAGTTTCAATTTTTTACATGCTTAACAGCTCCACACGCGTTCTAATGAAGTCTCATGGAATTCCATCTCAGTTAGAAAAAAACCCTTTTTTAGACTATTTGATGTGAAGTCAGTCGGCTGTGAAATAAGTGATTGCATTGTGCCATACCTTCTCTGTGATTGACCAGTAAATAAATAAATAAATAAATAAATAAATAAATAAATAAATAAATAAATAAAACAGCCTATGAATAGAGCACAACAAATCTTGAAATCAGTAAAATGATATCTGTAGCAGATAAAAAGAATCAGGTAAAACAAAGATAGAAAGATGAAAAAATGACAAAAAAATAGTGAACGTTGAAGATACAACTTCCCTGTTTGGTGGAGGAATTTGGCATTTGAATAGTTTTATTCATTTTTGCGTGCCCCGTTAGAACCCGGAATGTAAAAAATTTCGCCCAATATGAGATTGTAGAGTGATAGCTTGAAGTATCTCCCCTAGTCTTGGACGGCACAATTTGAGGCACAATTGGCTACTCAAACCAGTTTGCCTGCTAAGAACGCTCTACCATGTTGTTTCTTCCTCAGATGTAAAGGACACAAGTGAACAATTTTGTTTCTAACCAATCCACGAGGACCGTTCTGTATGTGAAACTCAGGGTCCTTTAAAGTCATTTCTTTGAAGTTGTTCGAATTTTGCTGCCTGTCAGAAACGTTTGGCGCTATCGCCAGATTACGGGACATTCCTTAGAACAAAGCTGGCGAAGGGCAGGCACTTCGAGAAACCAGTGAAGTCATTCAAGCACGTGGACTTTCCCCTTAACCCATTCGCGACCGCGCAGGATTGCGCAATAGCAGCAGCGTCAGGAGATTTTTCTTCAATAAAATCCGAGTGAAGGGAGATTTCCTCTGCCCAGGGCTGGCGTAGATGAGCGAGGGTATGAAGATTCTTTCCATGGAAGAAAACTTTCCAAATTCCATTTCAAGCCCTGCAGCCACAGTAATACCATTGTCCCGAGTGAGAGCTTTGTCAGCCACCGGTGGCTGACATTGTCACGAATGGGTTAAGGACAGAAGGCTTGAACTGGCCAGGGATGCTTTAACGTGTTTTGAGTGCGGTTGCCACACAACGCCCGCATCCTGCGTAGAGGCCGCGTCTCAGCTTCGAATTTCTAAGGAAAACGGCTAGGGTAAGTTCATCAAGGGATTTTCTTCAAGGTTACCTGCTTATCAAAGTCATCGCTGATCGTCGGCTTGATCACTTCGTATTTCTTCTTTGGACGTTCAACCTCTTTATCTTTAGCTGCCAAAACGGCTCACGTCCATCGCAACGAGGATCGCTTATATCTGAAAAGGAAGTATTCTCTGGTGAGCGCCTACTGTGATTTCATTTCACCACATTAGGTCGGGTAGATGTGAGAAAGCTTACGTGATCGGTTCCTCCTTGATCTCAGGCTCTTTGAATCCTATTCATCAATGAGCTGACAGTTCCCAAGCGACGCGCTTTCTGTCTTGCCGCTTCCTGAACTTCGATTATATCAGTAGCAATATTTCAAAAGAGAAACAGTTAGAAATATTACCAAAAATCTGGAAACCCGAAAGAACATGCTCGCGTCAGTAGGTTAAGTGAAATTGACTAAGGGGAAACGACAAAAGGAATTTGTAGTAGTTCAAACCTCATCGGCAGCCGCTTTTTTCTTCGCATCCTCCTCCGTCATATTCAGAGCCGACTTACGAGTTCCACTCTTATCTGTGACCATCTGAAAAAAGCACATAGAATTTTTTTCTCAGAACTCCATCTACCTAGTCGTTACCTTTGCTTTGGAGTCGTCTGACGGCGTTTCCTTGGCCTTTGCAGGTTCCACCTAAACACGGCTAATCTTGGAAACAATGTTAAAAGGGTTAGGAAAGGATTAGTAATTTAAGAAGAATAAAGGAAAGGCTTTCAAAGGATTCAGCGATTTGAGGAATAACAGATATTGTTGCAAAAAACGCCAATGCACGCGATTACTTAAACCACGAATAGTAAGGTGGAGATAGTTTAGGTACAGCAAATGTTGATTATGACGTCGTTACCGTAACAAATCTTTTATAAATAGCGCAATCGAACTTTACTACTACATCATCATTTGATGAAGACGCCGAAACGCGTTGGAAGTCGTCATGTCAACTTTATTTAGATCAAATCAAGAATCTAAAGGCACAGTCCAACATTATCTGAGTTCTTCATCCCCCACTCCCTTTCAAGGATCAGCCTGGAACAGCGTGAAGCGCATTAATGTTGCCATTTGTAAAGCTCCAAAAGTGCTTTACGGTAGCCCATATCATTTGCAGCCCCCGCCCCATTCGCAATTGGACGCTCTG